TAGGTCGGCTTTGAACGTGATATTCTTCTTGGGAAAACGCCATACAAATGGACTGTTATCATTATGATATTAGAAACGATGAAATCGCTTGGCAGAGTTGCGTATCCTTGGAGTGCCAGAAACCAACCCTCCCTCCCTCCCTCCCTCCCTCCCTTCCTCACTCACTCTACTCCACTCCACTCCACTCACTCACTCACTCACTCACTCAAGGTTTAGGGAGCTTGGTAAATTAGCAAGGTATTTCATTACAATAATGTGTTGTGATGTCTGTTTTTCAATTCTATTTGAATCCTATATAATTAATCCTGGACATGCCATGATTCACAATATATCGAAAATTTTCTCAGACGATACTATACCCAGCGATACACATGTACTTGTATCGTTTCAAACATACACTTACTCAATCGTAATAGTTTTCAGCAAAATGGCCAGTTTGAATACATCCATTCCATTAACCAACGACACTTAACCCACTGACTTCCCGGCCACATGTACGTTCATTTACTATTGTTCTGAGTTCGATCCCTGGGTATATCAGCCCTTTTAAAACATCATGCATGTGATAGTTTTTAAATTCCGCCGTAGCTAATAAAACGCGACAATGCGACAACGCGACATTTTGATGAAATGTCACATTGTCGCATTGTCCCATGTCGCGCGTTGTTAAAATATTGACTGTAGTATGTATTATAACCTATTGACTAAAACGCAACAAAGCGACATTTCATTAAAATGTCGCATTGTCCCGTTTTAGTCAATATGTTATAATACATCTTAATTTTGCCTCATTTTGCTTGTTTTTGAGAGGGCGACAACGCGACAATGCGACAACGCGACAATGTCCCTTCTAGGATTCCATACGACACGGTATAACTGTCAACTATATACAGTCGACGCTCACTGCAACACCTGTTCAAGGCAGTAGTTGGCAGTAATGGCATTTCTACCATATAGATCAAACGTAATGTTTGCACAGCACAACTAACATGAGCTTGATCCGTGCGAGTAACTGTACTTGTAAATGTTTGTAAATATAACGGAATTGTTGCGAGAATAGCCATACTAGAAGGAGAGGGCACATTTGTGCGACATATTACATGAAAACTACTGAAAGGATTCTTCCATGCTCGAGTATTTACAGACCGCCGCCATATAGCTGGAATATCGCAGGTTGCGGCGTAAAACTGAACTCACTCACTCACTGTGCGTGATGTGTGCGATTTGACTTGTTAAATCTTAAAATAACGCCTACCGTCTCGTCCTTAAATGTTACAGGAAGACATCATTGACAGCCTTTTTCTGAGACCAGATTGTTTGATGTCTGAGAAACCCTCGCCAGCGATTGAGGTCGTAAAATGGTTTACAATTCATCTGGCTCACTGGTTACATCTGTTATGTGTTCTCTGCGCTTATTCAGTGTAGTTTTGTAACGCACAATGTGAATATCAATCATATCAAGTCCGTACCAGACCGCCAAACTTTTCTAGCGGCAGAGCCTCGTTTTGAGATTTCCACGATTTCCAGATTTCCGATTGTCAGAGCACGCCGTACAACAGAGCACGCTGCACGACGTGTTTGCAAGCATTAGAAGGAGTGTAGTGTTGCAATATACAAGTGGTTAGATGTATCAAATAATACTGATTAATATTTATGTATCCAGTTCAATGAATTGGTCTCAAAATTCTGGACTGGTTATGGTACTAAATTGCTCAATAGGACGGAACCGGTAGCAGGAAATGAGACTCTTGTGTAATCAATGTTTTGACTTGACATTGTGTTCATTGTCATACGTAAAGTGAGCTTGTGTCGTGCAGGAAGCAACTGACGGTTTGCTACAGGTCACCTGACACGTTATGCTATATAGCCTTTAGGGACACCTTTACTGGTCTTTCTTCATTGCTCACATTAATGTAGTTTGGCGTCAGTGAATATCTCCTTGACACTTCGTAAAGTGGGACCGCTTGGCGTAGTAGATAAAGTGTCTGCCTGGACACCAGTCAATGGTTCGATCCCCAGACTGCGTCATATTAGTTGTCCTTAAGCACGGCGTTAAGGAGATAGCTGACATGGTCTGCTCCTGGTAATATAAAATGCTTTATGTTGGGTGTCCAGGTTATATTGCTGGACCATATTTCAATGGATTACACAACCAGCATGCGTCCGGAATGTTACGCCACATCCACACACACACACACACACACACACACACACACACACACACACACGCACACACACACGCACACACACACGCGAACAGACATGAACACGCACACACACACATGAACACTTATACACACGATCACGCATGAACACACACACACACATGAATACGCACACACGAACACGCGAACACACACATGAACACTTATACACACGAACACGCACACACACATGAACACACACACACATGAACACTTATACACACGAACACGCACATGAACACACACGGGAACACGCACACACATGAACACGCACACACACATGAACACGCACACTCGAAGATGTGGACGCATTATAAAATGTAATCTGTTTACGAAGGGACTGTCGTGGCACCCTTCATGCTGTATGACAATTATTTCATAAAAATTGAATATGCTTTAATAAATGTAATAATTTCAGGGACAAATCATCAATTTGGACCTGCGTTTTCGATTGAAAGAGGCACGCTGATTTGTGTTCTGTTTTCACAAGAGTAAGAGGAAAATCTATATTCAGTCGCACAATATTTAAGCATGATTTCGGGATCAGATTTCAGATTTGGTTTTGAACAGCCCTTCCCCAATATGTCAAATGAGAGGTCCCTTTTGAGCCATCCTGGAGGAACATGTACACTTTGTCATTTTCAGTCGTTACTGCAGCGAGTTGTATAGTCTTCCTAACGGGGTAAGGGTGGATGAATTCGCCTCGAGTAGACTGCAGATCGGGTCGATGTAACCACTCTGTGTCAAACGCGCTATGAACCAGGAATATCCCCCAACAAACTCTGCCTTTTCCAGACGTGGTATAATAGCTTCCATGTACTCCTTTACTTGCTCAAACGTTGGTTTCCCAGGACAAGCAAACTCTGTCAACCAAACCTTTCTGTTGTACCGACTGTAGGCGCTCTCCAGAAACCCCATGTCACTGTCCACGTCACAGGTGTAGCTGTGCAGGGCTATATAATCTACCCGGCACCCCTTGCAGGCGGAGAAGAACTTGTCCAGCCAATCAAACGTCGTATATGTGCAGAGGCCCCCTACCACGCCACACCTGGCAGGGGCTGGGCTCAGGAGAAGTCTGTGTTGAGCTGCAGCTTCTACCTTTGGCCAGTTATCCGCGGCATATTCGGGAGTCATCCGCGACTGGTCTTTGTGGTTGGGTTCATTGAAGCCGAGGACATATTTGGAATGACGAGGAAGGGAGATGGCCTGACCATTGTACCCCCACACCATAGGAATGAACTCGCCCCTAGGGGAGCCATGGCAACCGTGTGCATGGTGACCACTGTCGTTGAGTCCCCAGTCATACCTAAAAAAGACCCAAAAAACAATTTACAATCAAGGTCACAATTTAGGATAACATGTCAGGGAAAATTTTAATGTATTATTAGAATTTTGAAATGAAAACCGTGGTACAGAAACATATTTTACATCAATCGTATGTGCATTTTCGTATTTTTGAATAGTGAGTGTGTGGATTGCACATTACGTCATATTCTGCAATATCACAGATGTGTCACGTAGTAGGGGTCATAGGGAACGCAGATGTTAGCAGTAACTTCAAACAGTAGAGCATGGTATGCATGAATTATATGTGTCTCTGTCTGTTCAACACAACCATGCACTTCGAGCTTTACCCCTAGTTTGTGGGCTCAGAGTGGCAGGTGCTGCTTTCTGTTGACTTGGGCCACGTGTGTGCTGATTGTGGGACACGAGTATCTGGCTGTACTCTTGGACATGCTGAGATCTCACGACCTCTGGACATATTGAGATCTCATGACCTCTGGACATATTACCTCATGACCTTGGACATACTGAGACCTCATGACCTCTTGGACATATTGAGATCTCATGACCTCTGGACATATTGAGATCTCATGACTCTCTTGGACATATTGAGATCTCATAACTTCTTGGACATATTGAGATCTCATGACCTCTTGGACATATTGAGATCTCATGACCTCTTGGACATATTGAGATCTCATGACCTCTGGACATACTGAGACCTCATAACTTCTTGGACATACTGAAACCTAATGACATCTGGAAATATGTTGATACATGCCTTCTTGGGCATATTGACCTCATGACCTCTTGATATATTGAGACCGCATGACCTTTTGGACATATTGAGACCGCATAACATCTTTAAAATATTGAAACCGCATGACCTCTTGATACATTGAAACCTCATTACGTCATGACCTCATCGACGCACTGAGACCTCGTGACCTCTGGACATATTGAAACCTTATGACCTCTGGATATATTTAGACCTCATGACCTCTGGATATATTTAGACCTCGTGACCTCTTGGACATATTGATATCTGATGACCTCTGGATATATTTAGATCTCATGACCTCTGGACATATTGAGACCTCGTGACCTCTTGGACATATTGATATCTGATGACCTCTTGGACATATTGAGATCTCATGACCTCTTGGACATATTGAGACCTCATGACAGTGCTTCATGCAGAGGGAGATGACCAAGTATTTGGGGAATGAAGGGTTACATGGACATGACCCTGAATGTCCTCACGTATTTCCTACAACCTACATCACGCTTATAACTGACGGATATTATGAACGTTATATCCTAGTCACATGCTGTACACATTAGTCGAATTGCCTGGAACAAACTACGGGCGATAAACACAACAAACCAAGGTTATGACTAACAGAAAGGGGCCACTAATTGTGTTCGTTATAACCTTGGTTTGTTGTGTTTATCGGTAAATATAATTTGAACATTTAAAAACATTGTAAAACAATAAGCAAACAAACTTACCACCAGCTGACATTGCTCAGGACAAATGTGTCATTACACTGATAGTGGTCCGAAAAGGTCAGTGTAACGCCCTTCTTAGTTATAGCAGTCACTAGCAGAACTGACCCCACACACACGCTGAGCGCTAACCAGGTCATATCACAAGCCTCTCGGTCAGAGTCAATCCTGTTTGGTGTCGCCCTGAACGCGCGGAAGTATTTCTTTTGGAAATGCGTTTTGGCGCTGTAACCGTAACATTTGTTCAAAATGCAAGAAAACGAGGGAACTACTGCCCCCAGCATTTGCTGTAATCTAAATGTTATTGTTTTCAATTTGTGGTATTTGATATATTTCATTTATTCAAAATCACCCCTGTAGTAGTGTTACAATCTATTAAATGAATATGTGGCAATGTTAATAAGGCCGTCCGTATTTTTTCTGTTTCTCATCTCCCGACCGACCCAATTTTCCTTCCGACGGAACAATTTTTTGAATATTTTACACAAAGTCGCCGACAGCAATAATTTCAGCCCGATCAAACGAAAAATGTATCTTAAAAGTCAGCTTTTAAAAATATATGATATTTTGAAAAGTCTCTCAAGCCTCTAAATGGGCGATCTTTTTGAATTCATCTTCCCTTCACTAATCCGCTTGGAGCGCTGATCCGGACACCAAACTGACAGCGCATATCTTATGCGCGATGGGAGCTGTACTTGTTACTAAACACTTAGAGACAGTTAACCAGTACAGCCTTCACCATCACCGGTAACGTTCAGGCTGGCGCATGGGCAGTCAATCTTTTCCCTTGACCGATAATATATCAAGTGTTATATCCTGAAATATTTGTTCTGTGATTCATTGATACACCGGGGATAGCCATAACAGCGTATATTGCATTAATGAATCGCGAAATCGCCATTTGAAGCGAGGCGGTGGAATCATCTGATCGTTTTCAGGTCATGTGTTGTCATTTTGTTGACGTTTTGCAATCGGTGATTCAAGTCTGGCACTAGATGTCTGAATATCACACTTTTAAGCCTGCAGTGTATTTTTGCTTTTGTACTCAAATCTATATCGTATTACGCCGATTAGGCTACATTCATGTAGTTCAGTACGGTCGGGAGCTGATATTGTGCGAAATGTGAAAACATTGTTATGCAACGTGTGAATTTCGTCCTGAATTTTATCTGATATTTTTGTATGATGGTGCATGTGTACTTTAATATTACATTACACTTGCGAGACTTTATTCAGGTAAGTGTTATCTGTTGTATTTGTAAAAATATAAATAATGCATACACACATCTACATGGAATTTATGTCATCAAAAGCAGATTTGATTTCTAACACATTTTCTATGTTAACAGACATAACACTAAAGTTTTCTTCAGGACTGTCAAATGGAAATCAGAATATAAAGCTATAGCTAGATAGTATATGGTCTGTCATATGATATATTTTATCAACATAATGTTATCAAAACAAGAAGATACATATGTCATTCTATACACATATAATTCTATCATACACATCCTCTTGGGTGGTCAGACTGATCTGTTGTTTGTTGAGACAAATCTCTGTAAATGAGTACTTATGTTTAGACGTTGAATAGTGTTAAACTTTTGTAAGAAATGGATCAATAAATTAAGATATATAATGACTCACAGCACTGACTGATGGGCACATTTTATAAGGGCTGAATTCTTTATTTCAAACTATGATGACTGGTAGTCATGCTGAAACCGACTACTTGGATAATAGGTGTATGGTACATTAAGTATGCGTCAGAAACGTAGTGTCAGAATTTAAAAAACAAAATGAACTGCTGATCAAAACGTATTATTCATATTTATAAAGGTTACTTTCTACACAGAATTTCTTCAATTCTCAGGGATGTGTAATAATTACACATTTTCGATAAAGGCCTTCCAGGGGATACAGGTTCGTTGGTGGGAGGTGTGTCTCTGATTCTTTTCACATTGAAGTCTGTGGTAGTATGAGAACTATTTGTTAAATTTGAATGCGGCAATAGTTGAAGAATTGCCGTCGGAAATAACATAAGGGCTGATATATAAAGTGCGTTTTCATTATTTCATAGATGCTATGACACCCGAGACTTACACTGTCTTGTGTTCTGTCGTAGGAAATGCCGTGACATTATATCGATTTTTCATGGCGTTTCCCCGTTATCTTCTATCGTGTCGATTTGTATTGAGCTTGAAAATTAAACAAACGGTGGATCTGCAACCAGTGTGCTACCAGTGGACGACAACCTTTGACCGGTGGCCAAAAAACCTTCAAAAAGTGATAAATCTCTCCAAAAATAAACAAAGTGCCAGTTTCGAATAACTGACTTTGTTGTTGTATTCTGATCCAATGTGACATTTAAAGAGGCTCTATTAAAGTTTGTAGCATAACTTATTTAATTAAGAGTCAATACAGGTATTTTCTCAAGATTCCATATAGTTTCCTTATGTTTAATAATATATGAACTGTCTAAAATTGAGTAAAAAAAAAGGATCCTCACAATAAGAAAAGCCTCTTTTAATGGTCTGGGTACTGTAGGAGGTTCATTTACTCTCACCAGCTTGAAAAGGAAATGGCAAACTTCTTCTTTTTTTTCTTTTTTCTTCATTTCTATTTCTATTTCTCTCATCAGCACCAGTTTGGAGATGAGAAACCTAAAAAAATGTGGATGGCCTTACAGAAGGGATAGGACCGAAAGTTTGGAGTATGAGACTACTGGCATGTGTAAGGTCCCAGCGATACAGCGCGGATGTGGTTCTTACAAGGAACGAAACGCATTTGAAAAACCTAATCTCCTTGTAATATTAGCATTCGTATTTCGGAAAATAGAGATATATAGATCTAGGCAAGCAGAAGATGTCCTTCATTTGAAACACACTCTGCTGATCACAGCTGGTGGCTGCATAATATCTGTTGGAACAATGCAGTTGACTACAGCTGACTTGGTAATGTTCATCTAGGTCTGTCAATATGTTAGAGCTGACGTTGTACTGTCGACGTTCATCAGCTGATGAAGATAGTGATTGACATGAGCCAATTCCATGATGCGATAACTATTGTCAATTCATTAACTCTCTGCTTGAAGGACAACTTAGTCATGCGACGAGGTCACTCACTACTGTCAATATGTATAGACGATTTCAAGGTTTTCCGAGCAAAATATAATTCTAAAACGTCTGTCAGCGTATATACCAACTACTGTGAGTGTATTGAATAGCTGATAGTAAATAAATGTAACTTGACAATTGGCTCTCTGGGGGACTTATGCAGAGACCAGAAAAGATATTGGCGACATACATCCAGTTGTCAATAATAGCATTTGGAATGATCTACAATATATATAGATATCATGAGACTGACTTTGCATTAATTCATTAACCATTCTCACAGGTTCACAAATATGTTGGGTCAAAATTGATCTTCAGCAACCCATGTTGTAAGAGGGAACGTGATCGGGTGGTCGTTCTCACTTACTTGTTTGATGCATGCCATCGTATCCCACTTGTGAAGATCGATGCTCATAGTGTCATGGCCATGCTATGTGTAAGTCTCTTGTGTATATCATTACATATTACTAAAACCGAGGTATGCATATTTTTATGGACGTTACAGTAGAAGCAAGATGTTTATATGAATATTGTCTTGGAATTTCTTTGAGTTGTCCATAAAAGTAGGCACTTATTTTTTGTATTTAAAGCAGTTTCTATTGTAATAGATCTTCATCAAATATTACTCTGTTCATCTGTGATAAAGTTGCAAATACGTTAAGGCTAAATCGTTTCCGTGGACCTTCTTCAACATATCTGTGCATGTAAACGCCAATGTACAGGAAGGTGTAGCTGCAAGACGTTGAACCTGTTGTGGAATTCGGCATGTGGATGTAGACTTGAAACATGTTCCCGTGATCTTGACAATGTTGACATTGACTAACATGTCAACTGGGAATACACTATGACTATTAAGAACGATAAATACGAATTGATATGAAGCCAATGTTGCTTGCGTTATGATGACATGACTGTGTGTATATTTGGTGGTAAGATACCATAACGCCTTTCTGATCAGTGTGTCATATATTTTACAATGTATTAATGATTGCCGGTGTAAACTAAATCAAGAACGTCGTAATATTTCACACAGTAAACAGAAAAAATGGCACACCATAATGTCACTTGCAAACCTTCCATTAGGATGTCATATTATTATCCATCAGCTTCAACTTAAGGGTTTTACGGCATGTCAGTGCAATACTGACACTTATCAAAACATATCTCCTTCTGACATCAGCTGAATTGTTGTTTCTGTCAGAATGTCAATAAACGGAAATTTGTATGATAGTCCAACAGTACCTTCGACATATTTGGTATTGTTGATACTTTGTAAAACATGGAGCTGAAATTTTATTATATTTTGCTGATCTAAATACATAGTACCAACCTTTGTTTCCTTGTAATGGTTTTTCATGAATTCAATGCCAACCAAAGGTATATATGATCTTCAAATGATATAGATGAATCAGAAAAACATAATTTTGGAAAAGTCACCTTTAATTTGTAAAGGTCAACTCATATTTTCTCATCAAATGCCCTTTCTATTAAAATTGACCTTTGACCTTACCAAACTATTTTTGCGATAAGCATATATGTAATATTATTGTCCACAATTTTAAAGCATGGTTTGAGCATTCCAAAACTACATGTATTTGTTTGATGAAAATCGGTCAATCCAAACCAGAGTTATTAAATTAAACCATCCAGTTATCGGTTTAAATATTGCCATAACTGACATGACATGTTGCACCTTAAAAGGGCCTCTGCACGGTAGTCATGCACGGTAGCTGACATCAACCGGCTTTAAATCAAAGCTAAATCATTCCTGATTGTGAAAAATAACATCCCATTCGGTCGCCAGAACTACACCACATTTTCACCATTTTGGGGGTCTGGCTTCTAGACCAAACCTTCTCCTGTAAGTGTCTCCCCATCTGCCCTCATTGAGGGGTGGTAGGGTAGCCTGGTTGTTAAAACGTTCGCTCATAACGCCGAAGACAAGGGTTCGTTTCAGCACATAGGTAAAATGTGTGAAGCCCATTTCTGATGTCCCATGTTGTGATATTGCTGGAATATTGCTAAAACTAAACTCACTCACCAAGCAGAAAATGGGTACCCGGTGGGGTAAGTCACATGACTATTAACCCAACAGGCGACTTCTGTTATCCGGGGAATAATGTCCATTATGCTACATACGCTTAGAGCATGCCCTCCGGCATGGAGATAAGGGCTGTCAGCTTTGGCCTCCATATTTATTGAAAACTATACTTTGTATGTAAGTGAGAGTTTAACTGTGTCACGATGTACGAGATACACACACCAATATGTACTGAAAGGTGAAAATCCTCTGTTTGTCCCCCACTGTTCTGTATCCCTTGTGATCAAGGAGTGACAGTCAAGCATGAGTTTCTGAACTGCCTTGTTGCGTTTCCATCACAAAGGATCCATAATTCAAAATTTCATCTACAAACGATATGTAACAACAAAACAACTTAACAACATAAGCTCTCAAGTGATTTTTGTGATGCTTTGTTACTTACATTGATGCACATTGATGTCTTTATAAGCTGGTATTGTTTTATTATCAAATGTAATAAATGTATTACTATTTATTACATAAATGGGGTATGGTTAAATCATTGTCCCACCCAAAAGAATTGTTGAATCTACCACACTTTTGAATCTTTCTGTATTTGTTTGTCATATTTTTCGACCTGCTCTCGAAACACGCAGGTACAATAACGCCATGGTCCCAAGTATGGTGAACTACCTTCGTAGCTAGCGATCTGTAGCCTCGTTATATGATAGAAAGGAACAGTTATTACCCCTATTACCCCTTCATGCATTCATTCATTCACTGTGTTGAAACTTCACTGTGAACCTGTACAATGTGTGAAGCTGTACACTGTGTGAACCTGTACAATGTGTGAAGCTATACACGTGTGAGAACCTGTACTGTAGAGCGTGTGAAGCTATACACTGTGTGAACCTGTACAGTGTGAAGCTATACACTGTGTGAGCCTGTACAATGTGTGAAGCTCTACACTGTGTGAACCTGTACAGTGTGAAGCTATACACTGTGTGAGCCTGTACAGTGTGAAGCTATACACTGTGTGAACCTGTACAGTGTGAAGCTATACACTGTGTGAGCCTGTACTGTGTGAAGCTCTACACTGTGTGTAAGTGTGAAGCTACACTGTGTGAACCTGTACAAGTGTGAAGCTATACACTGTGTGTACAGTGTGAACAACACTGTGTGAAGCTATGAGCACTGTACAGTGTGTGAAGCTATACACTGCGTGGGCCTGTACAGTATGAAGCTATGCACTGTGTGAGCCTGTACAGTGTGAAGCTATACACTGTGTGAGCCTGTACACTGTGTGAAGCTCTACACTGTGTGAGCCACGTGTGAAGCTCTACACTGTGTGAACCTGTACAGTCTGAAGCTATACACTGTGTGAACCTATACAGTGTGAAGCTATTCACTGTGTGAGCCTGTACAGTGTGTGAAGTTCTACACTGTGAGCCTGTACAGTGTGAAGCTATACACTGTGTGAGCCTGTACAGTGTGTGAAGCTATACACTGTGTGAGCCTGTACAGTGTGCAGTTCTACACTGTGTGAGCATGTACAGTGTGAAGCTATACACTGTGTGAGCCTGTACAGTGTGTGAAACTATACACTGTGTGAGCCTGTACAGCGTGAGGCTATACACTGTGTGATCCTGTACAGTGTGTGAAGCTATACACTGTGTGAGCCTGTACAATGTGTGAAGCTCTACACTGTGTGAGCCTGTACAATGTGTGAAGCTCTACACCGTGTGAGCCTGTACAATGTGTGAAGCCCTACACTGTGTGAACCTTTACAATGTGTGAAGCTATACACTGTGTGATCCTGTACAGTGTGTGAAGCTCTACACCGTGTGAGCCTGTACAATGTGTGAAGCTCTACACTGTGTGAACCTATACAATGTGTGAAGCTATACACTGTGTGAGCCTGTACAGTGTGACGCTATACACTGTGTGAGCCTGTACAGTGTGAAGCTCTACACTGTGTTAGCCTGTACAGTGTGTGAAGCTCTACACTGTGTGAGCATCTATAGTGTGTGAAGCTATACATTGTTTGAGTCTGTACAGTGTGTGAAGTTATACATTGTGTGAGCCTGTACAGTGTATGACGCTGTACACTGTGTGAGCCTGTACAGTGTGTGAAGCCATACACTGTGTGAGCCTGTACAGTGGATGAAGCTCTACACTGTGTGAGCCTGTACAGTGCGTGAAGCTCTACACTGTGTGAGCATGTACAGCGTGTGAAGCTAAACACTGTGTGAGTCTGTACAGCGTGTGAAGGTAAACACTGTGTGAGTCTGTACAGCGTGTGAAGCTATACACTGTGTGAGCCTTTACAGTGTGTGAAGCTATACACTGTGTGAACCTGTACAATGTATGAAGCTATACACTGTGTGAGTCTGTACATCGTGTGAAGCTATACACTGTGAGCCTGTACAGTGTGTGAATCAGGCGATTTATGCGCTTTATAGCTGGAATATTGCTGAGTGCCGCGTAAAAATAAACTCACTCTTCTGATTTCACTTACAACCTATTGAAAACTTTTACCGCAGACCGCATGTTGAAAGTTTATACCACAACGTGACATGAATACATCAAGACCCACACATGTAGAGCCTCACTTCGTAATGGCGGGCTGGGATGACTTCACTGTCACACGTGACGATCTGTACAGTTTCTGTATTCGATGCCTGGAGGCGGCTGGTGCCAGGACCGAGCACGCCAAGTGTCTGACAGAGGTACTTGTCATGGCCGACTACAGAGGTCACTACAGCCATGGCCTCAACCGTATAGGTGAGAATTGTCGGTTTCTCCAAATAGAACAGGAGGTCAGTGCTGGTTGAGGCTGGCCTACTCACATAGCTGCGTTGTTGCCCTGGTCGGGAGCGCAGATAGTACTGGTGACATGAATAAAGGGTTAATGTATATATTGTTCAGACATGCCAACGGCCTTGGTGTGTTTATGAGATTCACTTGCTTTCTACTCATGGCTTTTACTTTCTGTGATATTCTCACGTTTGGATGCGATTCGATTTCAGATTGATAACTATTTGGTGTCTAGACATGTATGTTGCCATTATCATGCATTCTATTCATGAATTGTCCTTTCTGAGTGAGTGAGTGAGTGAGTGAGTGAGTGAGTGAGTGAGTGAGTGAGTGAGTGAGTGAGTGAGTGAGTGAGTGAGTGAGTGAGTGAGTGAGTGAGTGAGTGAGTGAGTGAGTGAGTGAGTGAGTGAGTGAGTTAAAACTTTAAGTCACATTGGCAGTATTTCAGCCATGTCGTGACTATATCAAGATATATATTTATAATTTTAGATAAATTATTAAAACCAGTCAACGAAGGACAGTAAAACAACTTGTTTATCACAGGAATAGTTTTAAAACTAGTATTTAAATTTAAGACATTTTAACTATAAAAGACAATACAATATAAAAACTGAAGGTAGATCCCCATACTGGGGATCATGGGGACTTATGTACAGTACCTTTGCTACCAGCATGTGCCCTAGCTGGATTTACATCATCCCTTCAGCCGTTGGCGATTGTAGTCAGATTTAGCCATAATTTAAAATGACAGAAATGCTACGTTTTAAAAATTTGGCAAGTTTAAGTTCACTGAATGTTTTTGGTTGGAACTTATGTACCCTCTCAGGGGGACAATAATTTTACAGTACTTCAACCCCATTTGAGGATACAGCCACTAACAATCGCAGTTTCTAATTTATTCTACAATTGATAATACAATAATATTCAACTATTTACAAAACATTCACAAAATATCTAATAATCCTATTTCTTGTAAAAAAACAATTCTTAAATTATAATTTACATTATAGACAAGATCCTTAATTGTTCTATTTATCCCTTGCGATGGAAAAATAAAAGTAATTTATTGATACCTACTTGGGTGTCCCACTTCTTCTGCATTAGAATACGGATATATACTCTAATGACAGCTTTGTAAGTATCATAGTATGGGATGAAAAGTGGTGTCACAGATTTGTTGAGTGCTGCCGTAGCAGCAAGATCGGCCATTGTATTATCAGAAATTCCAACTTGACTGGGTTACCAACAGAGGATGGTATCGTATTGGCCAATAGCAAGATAAAAAAGAAGCAAAAATTGTTCGTGGAAAAATGAATACGTATATTAAATTATACATGAAGCAATAAGTACAACTGCGCGTGTATAGTTGTCCAAAAAAAAGGCGCACCTGCAATCACATTGTCTTAGCCTATTGTATGTTTGATCTCCAAACATTTTTTTTGTAAATGTGTACAAAGCCAAGCTTATCTGTCGTTGGTTTTTGATCTTCGTTTTGTTGGACCCGCGAAGATCCGGGTTAGAATTGATCTTCAGTAACCCATGTTTGTCGTAAGAGGCGACTAACGGGGTCGGATGGTCAGGCTCGCTGACTTGGTTGACACATGTGATCGTATCCCAATAGCGTAGATCGATGTTCATGATGTTGATCACTGGAGTGTCTGGTGCAAACTCGATTATTTACAGACGACCCCCATCTAGCTGGAATATTGCTGAGTTTGGCGTGAAACAGTTAACAAACAATGACCATCTAAATTTTGGTACACGCCTATTGACCATCTATACTTTGATACACGTTTATTGACCATCTATACTTTGATTCACGTTTATTGACCATTTATACTTTGATACACGTCTATTGACCGTCTGAACTTTTGTACAGACACATTCATCATCTGATACATGATACAGATACATTCATCACTTGAACTTTAATATAGACACAGAATGTTCAACATACTCATGCTCCATCAGAATGTTTTAACAGACACATACACCATCTGACCTTTGCTGCAGAGTTGTACCTAGGTGACCTCGTGTCGGGAATGACGTCATCACAAGACGAACCCGAGGTTGTCAGGGAGACTGTGGCAACAGCTCTTGTAGATGGCAAGAATGTGCTTGGTAAGTACCATCAACACGATTGAGTGATCAGTGTCTTTTACAGAATACACCCATTGAATCAGATATGTATAATTGTTTTCAGCGAAACAACGATGGTAAAACAACCCACACCTGCATCACTGCCACCCTGCTGTAAATGAAAAGAAGAATGGTTCTAACAAAAGCTATACCATGGTAGAGGAAACTGTTTACCTATAGGGAATCGAAATCGGATGTAGTTATATCTTGTCTTGACTGTATATCATGTAGTTATATGGACTATCTTATGAACTCTTTCAGGTCCAGTTGTTGGCAGGTTCTGCATGGACCTCGCCATACAGAAAGCCAAACAGTCGGGGATCGGATGGGTGACGGCCAGAGGTATATGTTATGTCGACACCTTGTCATTTGATACTGCATTGATTGTATAGATCGTGCGAATATTAATTAATTAAGGCTATATCACGACGGTTTTGTTAAGTCTGGACCAGAAAAGCCAGTGTTTAGTACTGTGAGCTACTTCCAAATGCTATCACCCGAGTCACATCGTCTTTGGGTTTGGTCTAATTTAGTCGCCTCTTACATCCATAGATTGTTAGAAACAACTCATTAATGGGTGAATGTTGGGTTTGGGGATTGGATGTTGTTGTCAACGAAAATTCCGGATCTTGACCACTCTCATCCTGACTGTGGCCATCATAAAATTATGATACCAGCAAGTAAGAAGTTGAGAGACCGCAAAGTGATTAATCTTGGAATACTGTTTCATGATGGTATATTTTCTTAATATACTGAGAGAAACAAATAAAGGATCATAGGAAAATTCAAGCATTCCTTTAATATTTTCCAGTTTTCATCACCAGCTTTGAATGGCACTGTGGTGATGAAAACTGGAAAATAATAAAGGAATGCTTGAATTTTCCTATGATCCTTTATTTGTTTCTCTCAGTATACATTGTCGTGGTAAGTCTGGATAGGTTCCTTACCATAATTTTCCTGATATTATTGTCAACATTTAATAATGCATATTTCCTTCATTGACAGCATCAAACCACTTTGGAATCGCTGGCTGGTACGGCCTTCGTGCAATGGAACAAGGGTTAATTGTAAGTCAGGCAAAAGAATGCATGAGTACATGATTTCCAATGAACAGGCTGAGTATGCTTCATTGTACATTCCGAGTGTGTGGTTCAGTGAGTGTGTGGTTCACTACCCCACCGCCCCGAAGTGTGTGGTTCAGTGTTACCCCACAGTCAGCACAACCCGGGCTAGACTACACCGACCGGTAAATATTCTAAACTTCATTATCGTTATTTCCAATCTTTGTGAAATCTGAAGGCAGTAACTCAAGGGAAATCCACCCCAACACTATTATGTTCATCTTTGTTGTTGTTTTGTTGTTGTTTGTCGCCACACTCAGCAATATTCCAGCTGATGATGGCGGTCTGTAAATAATCGAGTCCGGACCAGACAATCCAGTGATCAACAGTTTAAGCTCGATCTACGCAATATGAAGACATGTGCCAAACAATTGAGTGAGCCTGACCACCCGATCCCGTTAGACGCCTCTTAAGACAAGCGTGGGTTGCTGAAGGATCTTTACGGGTCTCCAACACTATTAAGTGGATGGTGGCTCCGTAAAGTAATCCACATTTTCAATATGTTAAGTAAACGCCAATCTTGTGTAAGTCCCTAGCATCACGAACAGAGGTTATATCACCAACCTTGATTCGTCAGTGGGTGTCTGTCTTTACATTACAGGGGATGGCCTTCTGTAACACCTCCCCAAATATGGTTCCAACCCGTGCACGAGAGGTACAGTGGTGTTTACTTACTACACATCCTAACTTCAAGTTCAAAACCCTAATGACACACTCTGTCAGTCTGTCTTAACTGACCTTGAAGTGTTTAGTTATATTTTTACGTCACTTGCCGTTTCTTTCTTATAATTGGATAATATACGGTTTTGATCATCCATTTTATAATTCTTCATCAAGAATGTTTGACTGTTATGATCACGTCCTAGAAAACACTTGGGACCAATGCTATGTGTGTGGCAGCACCGGGTAACCATGGTGACAGTTTTGTGCTTGACATGGCAACGACGGGTGTGGCACAAGGAAAGGTAGGTTATAGTATGTATGTCAAGTTTTCGTTTCCCTAAACGGGTTCGCTCAATACGTTAGGGCTTGAAGTAACTCTCAAAGCTGTTCAGATACCATGATAAATGAGTGGAAGTATTCCTGACTGACTATATTTGGAAAAGAACTTCCGTCTCCATATGTCTCCGCAATTACACGAGTCTTGCGCGCCTGAAGGATTGTCCAGGAAAATTTAATACAACCAGGGAAACGGTGCTGGCTCTGACGGATTGAAATTATCATCTGTTCACAGTAGCTACATATGTATATGATTAACAACCCTACTGTGGAGATGTGTAAGAACTAGCAATAACCACCAAAATGGAAATGTTGTTTATGTATTTGTTCGGTTTACAGAGATTTCACTGTATTTTATTATTTATGTTATTATAGGATATTTATATACCGCACGTAGCCACGCAACTAGTGCATGCTCAAGGCGCTGGTATTTTCCCCCTCGATCATTGGATGTCAATCTCAACGGCACATCGTATTATCAGTCTCAACTCCCTGGGGAGTATACAACTCTTGCTGCCACTAGGGACGCAGCTCTGAAGGAACATGAATATGTGTGTGTCACTTTGTTGTACAGGTGGAAATGAAGCACCGGTTGGGACAGGACCTTCTGCATGGCTGGGGCGTGGACGAAACAGGGAAGGTGAGCTACAGTTCTTCTCCAGTAATATTGACAATATTGGCAGAAGATTGAATAAACACATACCACCAGTGGAAAGATGAGCAAAGATCATTAGGTGAGATACAGTCCTACTCCAGCAACATTGACAATATATACTACTCAAAACAAGTTAAGGGTCATGCGATGTCATCATGTAATGTTATTGATGAGGCTGGTTGCATTATGCATGAATAAAACTTTACATTCCGTGTATGGCAGTTTATTCAAAACCATTGCAGAACCTGGATAAAGGCTGCAGATAACCGTGGTGCCAATAGTCATCATGTGGTAGGGTGTTAAAAAAATGAACAAATTGAAACATCGAGTTCTTCACAGAAGCGCCACCACTGTGCTTGTGGAAGATGATGTTTCATCATGAACAACAGTTGCACGTGTTCTTCGTGGGATTAGTGTTGTGCGTGCTTATTTTCCCTATAAAACTGGTAATTGTCGCATTGCTATTGTCACTTGAAATTCAGCAATAGCAAGACGTCAACTGAGCATGACAGACAGAGGAAGAGCTCTTGCTTGGCTTCCAAATGGCGAACCTCAACGCAGTGTGGCTCAGAGACTAAATGTGAGACAGAGTGTCATTGGAAGGTTATGACACCGGTTTCGTGTCACTGGAATGCTGAATAATCGACCACGTTCTGGCAGGCCTCCATCAACAACTCCTAGAGAAGACCGATACCTGACAAATATGGCCCTCCCACAACGCAGAGTAACTGCCAGACAATTCCGTGACCAACTGAGAACTGCCACAAGTACCCTGGTATCTGATCAAACTGTCAGGAACCGACTGACGAGGAACAATCTTCGGGCACTGCGACCAGCAGTACGACCACCGCTCCTTCAGCGACACAAGACGGCAATACATGACTGGTGTAGACGCCATGTTCGTTGGCATCGTGCTCAGTGGGCATCGGTTCTTTTCTCCTACGAGTCTAGGTTTACTCTACAGTTCAATGACGGTAGAACTCGTGTGTATCGGCGTCCAGGAGGGAGGTTTGCTGACGTTAACGTCAACCAACGTTTGTCATATGGAGGCGGGGATGTCATGGTTTGGGGTGCGCTTTCCTTTCATCAGAGGACACCTCTCTATGTCATTAATGGTAACCTGACCGGAAATCGCTATCTACGGGAGATTATCAGACCCCTTGTTTTGCCTTGTTTACAACGTATCGGTGTCGGATCCATATTCCAAGATGACAATGTCCGACCACACCGTGCCCGTGTTGTGACGGACTTCCTTAAACAGAAAACTGTTCAGCACATGGAATGCGCGGCATATTCAGCAGATTTAGCCCCTATGGAACATGCTTGGGACGAGTTAGGACGTCGGCTTCGTAACAACCACGCCCCTCCAAACAACGGTGCAGAACTGGCCCAGTATGTCATTGCAGAATGGCAGGCAATACCCCAAGCCTTCTTCCAGCGTCTGGTGAGCAGTATGAGACAGAGGTGTACTGCTTGTCTTACTGCTCGAGGTGGTTACATCCGTTATTAGGCCAATGTTGGCGTTTGAATTTTCACTTCTGACAGTAGGTCACTTTGACCTTATTGATCAGCAATCACTGAAATTCCTGCTGTTTTTGTCTCCCGTTATGGTTATCATGACATGTTGGCTCGAGTTGTTTTATGATCGCTACATTTTACTGTTATGTATATTTGTAGTTATGACCATTAAAAGTTTTGACCCTTTACTTGTTTTGAGTAGTATATATGGTGATATGGTGGTATGTGTTTAACATGTATATGTGTCTCTGTATGTTCTTTCCTCTTTTTTTCCACGGGTGGTATGTGTTTATATATAGTAGATTATTGCAGTATCCATATATATATATATATATATACATATATATACATACGCATACATTGAAAAGTTTGACACTGCAATAATCTCCCAGAATGAGGTACAAGTGAAGTAAATGATTCTCTAAATACAGACATCCAGAAATTGAACTTAACACATTCTTCTGTCTGTAAATAGTATATGTTTGCTGAATGTTAATGCACGATGCAAACGTTTGTGGGTTGTGAGGAGAATGGCATATGGTTCTGGATATCTCTGTTGTTCACGTCCCCAGTCATCCACTGACACCCACCGGGTGCTGCACCAGGGTGGATTGCTGCCTTTAGGGGGCACAGAAGACACCAGTGGGTACAAGGGCTTTGGACTGGCCATGATGGTGGAAATATTTTGTGGCATCCTCAGCGGATCCGACTTTGGCCCTTTCATCAGACATTGGTCATCTCATTCCAAGCAAGCCAATCTGGTGAGATTCTGTCCTTTGAATAATTGCAAATTTACTGCTAAATATTTCTATGCTGGGTTCGGAGTCTGTGTTACTAACTACACGCCTGTGAAGATCCGGGTTAGAATTGGTCTTCAGCAAGCCATGCTTGTAGTATGAGGCGACTAACGGGATCGGGTCGTCAGGCTTGCTGACTTGGTTGACATGTCATCGTATCCCAAATGTGCAGATTGAAACACATGTATCACTGGACTGTATGGTATAGACTTGCTTATTTACAGACCGCCCTCTTACAGCTGGAAATGTGAGAAGTTTGGCGTTATGCAACAAACAAACAAACAAACATGCTGCCTAAACTATTCACAATGTTTATGACATCATTGTGTGTAGCAATGCAGGTTTGTCCCCACATCCCTCGCCGTATTGTAATCTCCTTCTTCCTTGATGCTTTTATCTGGTCGCTTCGTAACTGTCGTAGTGTACACTTGAAATTGGACTTTGATGGAACAAACTAATAACGTTATTAAAACCTTCCTAGACTGAAAGTAGTCGCCTTAACATTGCAAACATCATGTCCAAAACGCAAACACAAATATAAGACACCCGCATCATAATGTAATAAGCATTTATTGTTTGTTTCTTTTTGAGACACTTTCAAATATGGGTGTATACTTTCTTTTGCCCGTCAGTATATTGTTGTAATACTGACAGTTCCTGTATCACAGGGCCAGTGTTTCGTTGCCATCGACCCAAGTACTTTTGCGGCAGGATTTGAAGACAGATTGAGTCAACTAATGGACCACTGCAGGGGACTAAATCCGGTATGTTAACTGAACGTAACCAAATAATAGTTAAGGTGTTAGTGTAGACGACCATCGATCATTTTACTGTTGATACGAGGGAGCAAAGCTTAACGTTTACCATATCTAATTTCCCTATCTGGAACACTAATGTAACCGGGCAGTTCCAAATGAAAACAATGACGGTGAGACAATGTATCTGGACATTATGCAAACAACATCTTTCCAGAATGCAATGGCATTTGTGCTGTATGTAAGGGAAATAAAAAAGTGCAAGTGGGACACGGTAACGTTTTAGGAATCTTTTCAGAAACTATTCGTCTGACTGAGTGAAGATTCGATGCATAATTCAAGTCTAGTGGTGTTCACAGTATAATAACCTTGACCTTATAGTAACCTTTTTAGGGTTTATATTTGGTCTAGGATAATTATAATACCTAGAATTTGTTGTGGGGGAATTAGCTTGGGACCGCAACACCTTCAAATAACCAAGAAAAGCATCGATTGGTGGCCAGTCATTATTCGGTGCATTTCATGAGTCAAATTATATAAAACATCAGCATTATTTCAAACTTGGACAATTAATACATAATATGAAAATCATGTAAATTAATAATTACATAATCCTTACTGACAATATACCTTACAATAAACAATTGCCAAGATTACACGGAAGTGAGGACACTTCAAATTATATTGGAAACATAATACACGTGATGTAGCGCAGCTGAGAAATATGCGTAGAGAATGATGAGGTAACTGTTCAGTAAGACACGTAGTACATGTGCTATCAATTGCTAAAATAATCTTCTATGGAAGTCGTAAATGATAGGCGTTACTTTGCTACATCCCAACAGAATACAACTTAAGCAGAATAATAAGAATACACAAATAATATAAATGTTCAGTCTGCTAGTTGAATCATATGACCACATCTGAATATCTAGACTGTCGCGAATTACTAAAGATCATATGCCGAACGGCATGTTATTGAATAAGTAAATATACATACTTAAAGCTTTACAGTACTGAGAACGTAGCAATATGTGAGCAACAGAATGAAACAACAAGGTTTATGTGCGCTCAGTAGTTTTGCGTGTACCGTATTGTAACCTCACATAATATGTACATTGTTTAAACATTGGTTGATGAAAGGTAGCATGGAACATTTGAGTTAAACACATATAATAATCATTTAGAAATATATTCACTGACATTCACTTTCATTGCAAACACACAATAAAATATACAACACGTGCGCAAGAATTGCTTTGCTTCCACGAGCCCGATCATATGTAATTGTGATTTACTGAACCTATATTATGTCTTAACGTTACTGCATTATACTGTAAACTATTTTGATGTAAGATTGTTAGATTGGTTCTACATGGTCTGACACAACTATGATATAGATATTCCTTGTTGTACTTATTCAATACTGCATAGTTTAAATGATGATATTGGCATAAACTAACAGTATGGAACGTAATAGAAAACAGAGAAAATATGAACATAATTTAAGAACATACAATGAATGAATTGAACATGGCTTACCTTCAAATAACAAGAGAAGCATCGATTAGTGGCCAGTCTTCTTTCGGTGCATTTCATGAGTGAAATACCTCGAATAAAAGCCGTTATATATAACACCGATACTCTCACAGTTCGTGATATGGTCGCGCGTTCAATGGTCACTTCTTCAAACAATACTTACAAATGCTGCTAATCTACACTGCTGACTATCTAAATCTTAAGATTACCTCGTAGCTTTGAAAGACTTGAGGGTGCAGAAATGACCAAAATTATCTAACAGTTTTCTCGGAGAGCGTGTTATCATAGAGTAATGTTTACTTCTCTCTCCGGACATGTCGTCTTAACAGTTAGTACATAAGGCTTATCAAGAAAACTTGGGAATGAAGACGAGCGTATATCGATACTGACAGATTATAGACTTGGGACGGAACATGCATGTAGTCTTAAAGCTTAACACCTAATGCTAATTATCTTACAACTTGGAAAATGAAGATCAACACTAACTGAGACAGCGTTTAGTATTCTCGTTATTGAATAAAATACAGTGAGACCTCGGATATACGGACACATTCGTTTTTTACGTAAATCATCCGGATAATTGAATATCCGGATATCTGGATTTTTGGTTTTCATACACCTCAAGGAAAATCCAAAATATTTATGATCATCAAGCGTTTATTATACATTATATAGACATTCAAAAAACAGCATCACAACATAACTGGCTTGAATATCGACACACTGCACTTTTATTGCTTTGACTGAATAAACAACATCGTATCACTTCGCGTGAACAAACAAAAGAAGACAACTTTGTCAGTAGAGACGTCAAATTTGCAATTAAACATCACTAGACAAGATTATTTACCTATAAAGTTCTAAGTTGTTTTTGCTGGGCATTGTATTATTTGCAGGGATTAAGATTACCGTGCGTATTTGTCTCGTACACAAAGCCGGAAATAGCAATCAGTTGTGCACACGTTACCCGGCGAACAAGTTCAAACATGCACAATAATATAACGGGATGAATTCTGACGCAGAATACTATTATTTAACCCAAAGAATATTATTTACAGTTTTTATGTAAAATATATATAATCAACACTTAGGTTATACGGACCCTCATGAACGTGGTACGCACGTCGAATGGGGTAAAATACGGAAGCCATTTAAATTCACACATTTTTACCGATGTTACTGTAAACTAGCAGTCAATGGAAAACGAGGCGGTGATCAGTTCGTGATTGTTGAATGGGGTAAAATAAGCAAGCCAGTTTGTTGCTACAATAAATATGATATTTAGAGAAGCTATATTATGCATTTTCTGTCAACTACACTTCGTTTCGATCCGTGAGTAGACACAATAATATATATGACACCATGTCTCGTGTCAAAACACGTGGGACTCTCGCACTTCCCTTCACACGGTTAGCGGTAGATCAAAGCTTCGTGCGGATAGGTGAGTCAATTTTGTGTTGATTTAGCCGGTTTGTTTGTAAAATGTACCGTCCGGAAACGGAAACCGAATATCCGTTATAGACAGTCACTTTTATAACGTAAGAGAATGTTTTTTTTCTAAAAATTGACCGGAAGGCGAGGTTATCTGGATATCTGGGGTCCGGGTATCCGAGGTCTCACTGTATACAAAATGTGCTGTTTAGTCCTATTTTATAAAGTCACAATTATTTATATAAGATTGAGGAAAATATGACGTATTTTAGAACTATGATAACAGTTTGCAGGTGTAATTCGTCAACAGTTCTCGGCAGACAGAGTATTTGAATCGGAGAGAATGATCGGATTTTTCACAGTGTTTAAATAAGACACAATATGATTGGTGGACATTATGCAGTGGACGTGTTTCAGTAATGACACATACAGATATGCAGATATTTAATGGTGTACTTTCTGTACCCGACGTTGACTACGCTGTCAGGCGGAAGGAGAGACGGAAGTGCTGGTTGCTGGAGATCCGGAGCGCAAACACATGAATCTATGTGACAGTCTCGGAGGAATACCTTACCACAGAAACCAAATGAAGTTTGCGGTGAGTTGGACGAACATATAGATCTCACATACTGACTGAGCGGTGATTTACATGACCAGACAGATTGTGATCTGTTTGATTGGCATTTTAGAAGTTGATGAATAATAAGAAAAGTACGATACTGTATGGATGACAACTTGATTCGGTGAAGATTCTTCACTCTTGCTTGACGATGGTATAAGAATCTACACCGATACGTCACATCATAATACAATATAGAAGTTGTCATCCATACAGCATTGTACTTTTCCCATCAGACAGTGTGGATTTGTGAGACTGCTGCTAGACTGCCTCACAGACTATGATTTTCGTATAACTATGATTTTTGAAAATATCTAACTCACATCATAGCTATCCGTAAGTGGGAGAAATGATGCTTAACAATTTGCCAACTGGAAGAAATCCACGCCTGACTAAAGGATCCTGACACCGCTAAGAGACATCTCCAGCTTCTCAGATATTGAGAGGCGAGGTGGGATGGCCTGGTGGTTAAAGCGTGCGCTCGTCAAGCCGAGGACCCGGGTTCGATTACCCACATTGGTACAATGTAAGAAGCCAATTTCTGATGTTTTGCACCGTGATATTGCTATAACCGGCGTAAAACTAAACTCACTTACTCAGATATTGAGACATTTTCAGGATTTTCATATATGTTTTTTCTGAAAAACGTGCGCTCAATACTTACAAATGTAGATGCTAAAGTAATGAATCACTCACTTACTTATGGGTAAGAAAACGAGAACATCGAATTCGTTTGATAACAACGCTCTTGTTTTGGACTTGTTTCATTAAAATACGACCATTATTTGGAGTGTGCTGTGGTGATGAATTCTGCTTAAGTGGTGGTCCACCTAGTGATCAGTGAACGTCTAAATTCCTTACATTTGTTCATAGAAGTGGTAGATTGTATATACATACAGAGGTAATTGTTATTCATCTATTTAAAGTCTATACATTACTGAAAGGCGGGGGACTCAAGAAATGGGATTCATACATCTGTACATATGTGGGGAATCGAACCTTGGTCTTTGACCACTAGGCTACCCCACCGCCCTGACAAAAGTCATTAAAACAAATGATGTATGTGTAAAGTGAAGACCAGAGACGTCATGGCGAGTTCGTAATAACCTGGTATGCTGTACATCAAACTTATACTTGTGCGAATTCATTTCAGGATGACGTGGCAGCCAAGTACAATGTTGAACCCCTCAGGAAAACCAAACGAAGAAATGGCATACAAGAAACTAAATCTTCTTAGCAAATCTCCGAAATCTCCATCCATGCATTAGTCAGAATTTAATGAAATATGAATTTCGAAATAATAAGACAAGGGAGGACTGAGGTTCAGATCGGAGATGTTGTTGTTTCCCATATTCCTGAAAAAATGGAGAGATGCTGTTCCTGTAGACTTCTATACGTCCTTTGTAATGCGATATAATCGTTAGAGTGGATTTATTTATTTATTTGTTGTTAAACACCGCCCTAAGCAATTTTCAAGCTATATGGGTGCGGTCTGAAAATAGTCGAGTCTGGACCAGACAATCCAGTGACCTACATCATGAGCATCGATATACGCATTTGGGATGCGATAACATGTCTCAACCAAATCAGCGAGTCTGACCACCCGATCCCGTTTGTCGCCTCTTACGACCATCTTGAATTGTATCCCGGATGTCTACGAAGGAATAATTTGTGTGTAGGTTGTTCCAGAGCTATTGTATGCTGCAACAAAATGGCCAAGAGCTAATTATATGGTAAATAATGAGTGTGCTTAATAACAAAATATATATGTACACAACTACATAGTAAACACATTCAAACACTGAACGAGTTTAATGTCGGTAGTTGTTTAACGTGGCACATTCCTAGCTATATGGCGGTTGTCTGTGAGTAATCGAGTTTGGACCAGACGATCCCGTGACTGATACCATGAGCATCAATCTACGCAATTGGTATATGATGTGTCAAACAAGTTCTTCCTGCAAGTCTTTCCAAAATATACCATTCAATAATTACCAATCTCAAGTCAATAGCTTTGGACAGAGTTCAAAGAGATTAAGTGGTATGTATATCCTTGACGTTGTTTTTACAGTACCAATCTATAACATCTCAATACTAATGTATTGCATAAACATACCACTTTATCTCTTTAAACTATGTACATATCAATCAAAACATATCACTTAATCTCCTTGATGTCTAATCTACAGCCTCAGAAGAATTCCGGCCAACAAACCAGATCTTGTCCTTTTTGATAAAGGCAATGAATTCATTTATATAATTGAATTTTCTGTCCCTCTTGACAGCAACGTGATTTGCAAGATTCAGGAAAAGCATACTAAATATGCAGACCTCGCCTTTGAAATGTCTCGCTTGCATCCCGAGTACACTGTCGTCAGGCTCCCCATTGTTCTCGGTGCCCTTGGTTTTGTATCTCCTGATTTCTTGGCGCAGATCAGGAGAGTGACCGGTTTTCTACCTGGAGCACAGCCCTTCTGACACTCTGTGTAATGCAGAAGGCTGCAATGTTGGGGAGCCTTCATATTCTCCGGGAAGTTCTTGGTGGGTTCGACTAAGCAGCGTTCCCTGGGAGAATTCCCATTCGCTGTCTGGGCTGGGTGTAGAGGGGGCAAGGGCCCTGAGCTGATGATGAGCCCTACCAGCCTGACTGTGCCAGGATCACCCGAACCCTCTCTGCTGCATTTTCATTTAAATCTGTAAAACATAATAATCATAAGTGCATTTGTAACGCGCTATTTTCCATCCGTTGCTATTGCTCAAAGCGCAGGTCTTGAAATCACAAGCTGATTATTATTACCGCGGATAACCCAAGCTTCCTGTGAGGTGCTAGAAGGTGACTAATTCCACCGGCTATCCATTTTCTGCTTGGTGAACATTGGCAATTTTGAACCAATACTACTTACATGTACCTAAGGTGAGACTACATGTAGCTCATGTGCTTCGTTGTAGGGCAGGACTGAAGTCCAAGAAACTCTCAGCAGTCAAGCTTGCCAAACACGGTCACAAATCCAAATTGTGACCTGAGCAACTCGATGCTCATGCTAATGATCACTGGCTTGTCTGGTCCAGACGCGATTATTTACAGACTGCCGCCATATAGCTGGAATTATTGCTGAGTGCGGCGTAAAACTAAACTCACTCACTCACGCACTCACTCTAGTAGGTTCTCATCACAAAATGTTAAGTTGCTGCAGAGACCATTCTACCATGGCTACGTGAAATGCTCGAATTTGATTGGTCAATCAATAAAATCAGACGGTATCAATTTGGATTGAAAATGCGTCTGATTTCACGGCGCTTCACTGCGCACATATACAACACTGCCGCACTACTTCAGCTTGGCCACCAACATGACTAATATCAACACAACAGACGTGATGGAAATGCTGATGAAACATTTATTAAAACTCGAAAAATACAATTATACGATTTATCCTCCACAATTATTAGGGACCCTCACTATCATAATTATTACATTCTATTATAAAAATATTCAAACTCAATTACAATACACAGCCCCAAACAGAAACAAACAATATCTCACATATAAATCAGAAAACCTTGTAAAAATACATCCCTATCTATCCCTATGTGTGCGGCAAAACGTTCGTAAACATTTACCTACCTGGTAAATGGTATATTCAGCTTCAAATGAAATTTAGAGACTATCAATTTGGTCTAACATTCATCTAATTTCCAAACACAGTACGTTTATCTCCTAAATATATTTCAGTTAGATTCACGACTGCACTTCGAGAAAGCAAACAAGAAACGGTACGAGTAGATATATTGTGGTAGATATATAGTCACGATTACATTTAATGTACAACATTTACACATTCTGTTTTCTCTCGAATAATATAATATCTTTCATAAGATCATGTCACATCTAAATCTGGATAATGAAACGAAAATCAAAAATGAACTTGAAAAATGTGGATTCGGAGTGAGTTATCCATGCCATTAAAAACAGAGTCAATTTAAGGTTTGATCGTTGATGAGGAGAAACACGATAACATCTTCATGTGGCCTTTAGTAAACTGCAGCTTGTCCCGTCCGTAAAGTGCAGGCACGAGGTTAGACTGGAGACTATACGGTAAAGGCAGCGTTGATCCACAGGAGTGTCCCGAGAACTCCAAGAAGAGACACATCTACACGGTGCACTCCTGGAAACAATATGAGACCAGAAAAGACTAGAACTGAAAACAACTGTGATTGTATTTTCTGATATAATTATTAGCGTTTCCATTTTCATATAAATAAATTGATTACAGAAAGGAAATTAAAAAGAAAATATTCATTCTTCTTATCCAATGTACACAGATGGTGAAGCCAAGAGTTACCTGCCCTTGAGCTTGGCGCCAGTTTGTTCACAGTGTCAATGACAGCTTGGGTAGTCTTCCCGGCAAACTGGATCATCTTGTCGGTGACCCGGCTCATGTCATCACAAGAGTTATGGAAGCAGGTTTTCATGTAACCCCGAAAGTTTGCTGCAACAATATATTATAATTTCAATGATGATCGGATATACTGGTAAGGGTTCATATAGATCTGTGTACGTCATCCACAATAACATGTCACCATTACGTCAGCCTGTTTATAAACACATGACAGCAACCAATACTGTTTGAGATATGTCCCCACATCCAAACCATTCACTGCGTAAAACAACTCACTCACTCAATTCTGTTACCAGATGTACATACGTCAATGTAGAGAAAGCCATCGAGTGATACTCAGAGGCTGCACATACACAATTGTACTCTCTAAGCACAATATCATTGATACAGCTGGACGACAAATGTAAACAATGTGGAGCTACAAAAAAGCACAATTATGAACATGCAATAGACCAAGTCACTGAGGGTGACCACCCTGTCAATTTACTGTTTCTAAGGACAAGCACAGGTACCACCGGAACTATGTGTACCCAGAATCCCAAGGCATTCGCACTATGTCGGAAAGGGTTCCCATTCGGCTGTGAGTGCTTTACACTTCACGCTCCTAACACGGCCACAACCTACATTACAGTTTGGTTGATTATCGCCAAACTAATGTTCCTACCAAAACACGGCGGTATATAAGTATTCGAGACTGGACCAGACAATCCAGTGAATAACTTCAAGGGTACCATTTGTTAGTTTGTTGTTTTACACCGCACTCAGCAATATTCCAGCTATCTGGCGGCGGTCTGTAAATAATCAGACAATCCAGTGATTAACATCATGAGCATCGATCTACACAATTGGGATACGATGACACGTGTCAACCAAGTCAGCGAGTCTGACCACCCGATCCTGTTACGACAAGCATGGGTTACTGAAGGCCAATCGTAACTCGTGTTGTAATATTAATGCCAATGAGTAAGGAGGTGAGAAAACTCAGTGTAATGGTCCAAGTAGGGATAGACATACTGCACTCTATAGTACTGCCATACAACGTCTTACCAGTGTCTGTGAGGAAGATGGACGGGATACCACGGCTCCAGAAGGTTCTGTGGTCACTTCTCATCAGATCCGAGTACTGGGCAATGTCGCTGGCACTGACGGTGGACTCAGTTAAGCCGGAAATGTAAATGTTCTGCACGCCAAACTCCGGCTGTCCCAGCGCTGTGTAAGACTGAATGAATTTATCGAGAACATCTCTGTCCGAGGGGCGTCCAATCGCTGCCAGGAAGTCTCCCTTGTTGTTGTTTGAGGTGATGCTACTCGCAACGTTTGGAAACAGCTGAAACAATTTCATTAGTGAGAAAAGGCGGTGAGTTGGCCTTATGGTCAAAGCGTTCGCTCGTCACATCGATGGCCCAGGTTCGATTCCCAACATGGGTACAATGTTTGAAGCCTATTTTTGGTGTCCCCTGCCGTGATATTCCTGGAAATATCGCTAAAAGCGGCGTAAAACCGTACTCACTTATCGGTGAGTAAACATATTTTTTCAAATCCAGTTAGCAAGTTTGGAGGTATAAATTGGATTGTCGACCAGGCAAACCAATACATCAATACACGGACAACCATGCAAGTGCCAAGATGATAACATGCTATTACGTTCAGCATTTGAGCACTACCTTAAGTAATAAATTGCTGGCTACATTAAACGAAGTGGCCATTTGTACACAGGCTTGTTAGGAACAAATCATTGGAAACTGGTTTTTGTTTGAGACATAACAATAATTCATTCAGAACGTCATCAAGACACAGGGTTCATGTTTTGTGAAGAACGAGTAAAATTACCAAAACGACACCTTCGATTCACAAATTCATTCTGGCATTAAGGACATTATCCCCAATCAAGGTTGTATGGAAGAAGCTTTTAAAAACCTGATTGTTGCAGCTATGCCGCCACGTATATTTAATGTGCTGCCAAACAGCATTCTCTTTCCAAGGTTTTTACCTTAATCTGTTCTGCAAGGGACGGATTCTGATGTCGGGGTCTCACAACAGCAATATCACCTTATATTAAGTGTAACAATGACTTCCTTCGTTTCGAAAGCCAGTATTCGTAAACCGGACAATCCGATAGCAACTATTCTGCAATATTCAAATACGAGCAACACCCGATTATCAAATGGTGTCACAAAGACGTCATCACATTGTCAAGTGACGCATTTCGATGTGAAGATAATGCACAACTAACTACCCAACGTACACGCCCGTCAGTTCAAATCTAACATTTGGTGAACTAAAATAGTACCACGTTAAATCCAGCAGGTAGACTCTGCGATTCCCGACTGTCGTTGAAGTTCATTATGGTGTCCATGACAATGACGCCGGTGGTCGTTGGTGGCGTTGACCAGTATGAGTTCACCCATTCATTCATAAAACTCTCACTTCCGCAGCCAAGACTCGCACAGGCAGCATCTGGGGATGAGTGTTTGCACACAGAAATATATTTAACGTCACATATTTTACGAATCGGAATTTTTGCCTTAAAACATTCTTAAATATGGGATGTGTGAAGTGCGTCTAACAGTACTTTTAACGGTATTTCTGAATATCATCTGTGTCATTAACTTAGGAAAGGCTGGAAGTGAAGACACTTGGTTCACCATTGCAATGAAACCAACAGGTTTGGTAAAGAATCATAATTAGGGTTTTGTTTGCTTCTTGTTTGATATCTCACTCAGCAGTATTTCAGCTATATGGCGGCAGTCAGTAAATATTCGAGTCTGGACCAGATAATCCAGTGATACACACCATGAGCATCGATCTACGCAATTGGGATACGATAACATGAGTCAACCAAGTCAGAGACCCTGACCACCCGATCCCGTTACTAGCCTCTTACGACAACCATGGGTTGCTGAAGATCAATTCTAACCCGGATTTTCATAGGTCCTGTTGTCCAGATGAATCGTCTGGTTCAAATTATGTACAGGTAGACACATTGAACAGACGATGTTATGCAGTATATGAATTTTAACCCGGATGTTCACGTGTCTCGAAAATAGTGCGAATCTGACATTGGGCCTCACTTACAGTGAGTGAGTGAATGAGTGACTGAGCTGGGTTTTACGCCGCTTTTAGCAATGTTCTAGCAATATCACGTCGAAATGGGCCTCGGCGCATTATACCCATGTGGGGAATCGAACCCGGGTCTTCAGCGTGACGAGCGGTCGCTTTAACCACTAGGCTAACACCATCACCGCCCACCACCCCAAGAAATGACAAGACAACAATTCTTAGATTCTTCTAAAAACGGCTTATGCGTAACTTTGTTTTAGAAGAATGTACAAATAATTTCAAACCTTCGCTCAGCAAGAAGTCGAATGCAACAAACACCACAGTGAAGTCTCTTGGAAACTTGGCGAGATGTTTGGCTGCCTGCAACATGCCCACAACGCCAGCTCCGTTTGAATCCACTCCTGAAAGAGTGAGTGAGTGAGTATGAGTGAGTGAGTACGGTTTACGCCGCTTGTAGCAATATTCCAGCAATATCATGGCGGGGGACACCAGAAATAGGCTTCACATGTTGTAACCATGGGGACTCGAACCTTGGTCTTCAGCGTGACAAGCCAACGCTTTAACCACTAGGCTACCCCACCGCCCCTCTCCTGAAAGAAGGATATGCAGAAGGATACTGCATGATAAAGAACAGCGTCAGTTCTCTGAGCAATAAAATTACCCATCCCTAGTTAAAAAGGCGCACTCAAAATACAGCAAATGCAGAATTAGGTCCGTAAGTGAATATTTGGCATCTTTTAAAGGGCTAAAAAACTTCCGTACTCGACAATAAAGTTATAAAGGTCTTTTTACTGAACTTCTGTATTTTGTACACCTATCAAATTCGCCAGTGCGTCCATACCTGGAGTGTTTTTCGCAGTATCGTAATGCGCAACGACCCCTACCACTCGGTCCTTGTCGGTTCTGAAATACTTCCCTTTCGAGACGCCTATCACGTTGTTGCCTTTAACCTGAAATATTTAAAGTGGGTTATCAGTCGAAGAGAAAAACCAAACACAACTCCTAAAATAACTGTACTCTGTCACAGCTATGAGATGCTGTTATTATTCAATCGTCATGGAGAACCTGAAGCTGTGCAGTCCTGAGGGAAGGGTGGACGACTGAACGCATTGTTGGTTCATGGAATCAGAGTGGAATTCTGAATAAAATGTGGGATAATTAAAAGACGTGAGAAACTGAATGGATGACATAACACACTATGTATAGTGGAATATTGAGGGAAGAAAGAAAACTGAAATGGGTGAAGGATACAAAAATAAGTGGAAAGTGTGTAATAAGAGGACTAAGAACGGAAAGCGGCATACTGCGAGTGGAATACTAAATGAATGGGGAGAACTGGAAGTGGAATACTGGACGAAGATGGGAATACTGTGAGTGGAATACTAAATGAATGGGGAGAACTGGAAGTGGAATACTGGACGAAGCTGGGAATACTGCGAGTGGAATACTAAATGAATGGGGAGAACTGGAAGTGGAATACTGGACGAAGATGGGAATACTGTGAGTGGAATACTAAATGAATGAAATGGGAGAACTGGAAGTGGAATACTGGACGAAGCTGGGAATACTGCGAGTGGAATACTAAATGAAGGGGGAGAACTGGAAGTGGAATACTGGACGAAGCTGGGAATACTGCGAGTGGAATACTAAATGAAGGGGGAGAACTGGAAGTCGAATACTGGACGAAGATGGGAATACTGCGAGTGGAATACTAAATGAAGGGGGAGAACTGGAAGTGGAATACTGGATGAAGATGGGAATACTGTGAGTGGAATACTAAATGAAGGGGGAGAACTGGAAGTCGAATACTCGATAAACCTGGGAATACTGAGAGTGGAATACTAAATGAATGGGGACAACGGGACGTTGAATACTGGAGGAAGCTGGGAATACTGGAGAACTGGAAGTGGAATACTGGACGAAGCTGGGAATACTGCGAGTTGAATACTAAATGAATGGGTAAAAATGGAAGTGGAATACTGGATAAACCTGGGAATACTAAATGAAAGGAGAGAAGTTGGAGTGGAATGCTGGATGAAGCTGGGAATACTGCGAGTGGAATACTAAATGAATGGGGACAACAGGAAGTGGAATACTGGATCAACCTGGGAATACTGTGAGTGGAATAATAAATGAACGGGAGAGCTGAAAGTGGAATACTGAAAAAAACTGGGAATACTGAGAGTGGATTACTAAATGAAAGGGGACAACTGGAAGTTGAATACTGGATCAAGCTGGGATTACTGAGAGTGGAATACTAAATGAATGGGGAAAATTGGAAGTGGAATACTGGATGAAGCTGGGAATACAGAAAGTGGAATACTGGATGAAGCTGGGAATACTGCTAGTGGAATACTAAATGAATGGGGACAACAGGAAGTGGAATACTGGATCAACCTGGGAATACTGCGAGTGGAATACTAAATGAATGGGGAGAACTGGAAGTGGAATACTGGATCAAGCTAGGAATACTGCGAGTGTAATACTGATTGAATCGGGAGAACTGGAAGTGGAATGCTGGATGAAGCTGGGATTACTGCAAGTGGAATGATAAATGAATGGGAGAGCTGAAAGTGGAATACTGGATGAAGCTGGGAATACTGAGAGTAGAATAATAAATGAATGGGGAGAACAGGAAGTGGAATACTGGACTAAGCTGTGATTACTGCGAGTGGAATACTACATGAATGGGGAGAAAGAGACGTTGAATACAGGAGGAAGCTGGGAATGCTGTGAGTGGAATGCTAAATGAATGGGTAAAAATGGAAGTGGAATACTGGATGAAGCTGGGAATACTGCGACCGGAATATTGATTGAATGGGGAGAACTGGGAGTGGAATGATGGACGAAGTTGGGTATACTGTTATTGAAATACTGAATGAATGGGGAGAACTGGGAGTGAAATGCTGGATGAGGCAGGGAATACTGAGAGTGGAATACTAAATGAATCGGGAGAACGGGAAATGGAATGCTGCATGAAGCTGGGAATACCGAGAGTGGAATACTAAATGAATGGGAAAACTTGAAATAGAATACTGGATGAAAATGGGAATACAGCGAGTGGAATACTAATTTAATCGAGAAAACTGGAAAGGGAATACTGGATGAAGCTGGCAATACTGCGAGTGGAATAGTGATTGAATTGGGAGAACTGGAAATGGAATACTGGATCAAGATGGGAATACTGCGAGTGGAATACTCATTCAATCGGGACAATTGGAAATGGAATACTGGATGAAGATGGGAATACTGAGAGCAGAATACTAAATGAATGATAAGAACTGGAAGTGGATTAATGGACGAAGCTGGGAATACTGTGAGTGGAATACTAAATGAACGGGAGAACTGGAAATGGAATACTAGCTGAAGCTTGGTATACTGCAAGTAGAATACTGATTGAAATGGAAGAACTGGAAATGGATACTGGTGGAAGCTTTGAATACTGCGACTGGAATACTGAATGAATAGGGAGAACCTGAAGTGGAATACTGGATGAAGCTGGGAACACTGCTAGTGGAATACTGAATGAATGGGGAGAACTGGAAGTGGAATACTTAGTGTGGAATACTAAATGAATGGGAGAACTGGAAATGGAATACTGGATGAAGCTTTAAATACTGCGAATGGAATACTGATTGAATCAGGAGACCTGGAAGTGGAATACTGTGATTGAAATACTGAATGAACGGGATGAACTGGGAGTGGAATGATGGATGAAGCAGAGAATACTGCGAGTGGAATACTTAATGAATAGGGAGAACTGGAAGTGGTATACTGGATGAAACTGGGAAACTGCGAGTGGAATACTAAATGAACGGGAGAGCTGGAAATGGAATACTAGATGAAGCTAGGAATACTGTGATTGAAATACTAAATGAACGGGGAGAACTGGAAGAGGTATGCTGGATGAAGATGGGAATACTGCAAGTGGAATACTGATTCAATTGGGACAACTGGAAACGGAATACTAGATGCAGCTTGGAATACTGCATGTGGAATACTGAATGAATGGGGAGAACTTGAAGTGGAATACTGGATGAAGCTGGGAATACTGCAAGTGGAATGCTAAATGAACGGGGACAACGGGGCGTTGAATACTGGGGCAATCTCGGATTACAGTGAGTTGATTACTAAATGAATTGTTAAAAATGGAAGTGGAATACTGGATGAAGCAGGGAATACTGCGAGTTGAATACTAAATGAAAGGGAGAACTGTAAGTGGAATACTGGATGAAGCTGCGAATACTGCAAGTGGAATACTAAATGAATGGGGACAACAGGAAGTGGAATATTGGATAAACCTGGGAATACTGAGACTTGAATACTAAATGAATTGGCAGAACTGGAATACTGGATGAAGCTGGGAATAATGCGAGTGGAACACTGATTGAATCGGGAAACCGGAAATGGAATACTAGATGACGCTGGAAATCCTGAGAGTGGAATACTAAATGAATGGGGACAACTGGAAGTGGAATACTGGATGAAGCTGGGATTACTGCATGTGGAATAATAAAAGAATCGGGAAAACTGGAAATGGAATACTGGATAAACCTGGGAATACAGAGAGTGGAATACTAAATGAATAGGGAGAACTGGAAGTGGAATGCTGGATGAAGATGGGAATACTGCGAGTTGAATACTGATTGAATGGGAGAAAGGCAGAACTGGAAATGGAATGCTGGATGAAGCTAGCAATACTGAGAGCGGAATACTAAATGAATGGGGACAACTGGAAGTGGAATGCTGGATGAAGCTGGGAATTACTGCGAGGGAATAATAAATGAATGGGGAGAACTGGAAGTGGAATACTGGATGAAGCTGGGATTACTGAGAGTGGAATACTGAATGAATGGGAGGGAGGACGTGGAATAGTGGAGCAAGCTGGGATGAAGCTGGGAATACTGATGAATGGAATACTGAAATGAATGGGAGAACTGGAAGTGGAATACTGGATGAAGCTAGGAATACTGCAGAGTGGAAATGGGGAAATGAATGGGGAGAACTGGAAATGGAATACTGGATACTGAAGGAGGGAATACTGAGTGGGAATACTAAATGAATGGGAGAACTCAATGGAAGTGGAGGAATACTGGATGAAGAATACTGCGAGTGGAATACTGAATGAAATGGGAGAATGAATGGGGAGAACTGGAAGTGGAATACTGGATGAAGCTGGGAATACTGCATGAAGCTGGGATTACTGAGTGGAATACTAAATGAATGGGGGAGAACTGGAAATGGAATACTGGATGAAGCTGGGAATACTGCAGAGTGGAATAATAATGAAAGAAAAAAGGAAAATGGAAGCTGGAATGCTGGAGAACTGGGAAATGGAATACTACTAATGAAGCTGGGGAACTGGAGTGGAATACTAAATGAATGGGGAGAACTGAGACAAGTGGAATACTGATGAATGAAGCTGAAATGGAATACTGGATGAACAACAAGAATACTGAATGAATAGGGAGAACTGGAAATGGAATACTGGATGAAGCTGGGAATACTGAGAGTGGAATACTAAATGAATGGGGAGAACAGGAAGTGGAATACTGGATGAAGCTAGGAATACTGCGAGTGGAATACTAAATGAATGGGGAGAACTGGAAATGGAATACTGAATAAACCTGGGAATACTGAGAGTAGAATAATAAATGAATGGGGAGAACAGGAAGTGGAATACTGGATGAAGCTGGGAATACTGAGAGTGGAATACTAAATGAATGGGAGAACTGGAAATGGAATACTGGATGAAGCTGGGAATACTGAGAGTGGAATACTAAATGAATGGGGGAGAACTGGAAATGGAATACTGGATGAAGCTGGGAATACTGCAGGAAGTGGAATACTAAATGAGAGGGAGAACTGGAAATGGAATACTGGATGAAGCTGGGAATACTGAGAGTGGAATAATAAATGAAGAATGGATGAACTGGAACTGAATGGAATACTGGATGGAAGCTGGGAATACTGAGAAG